TGCAGTGGCCGCTCCCGGCCATTGCAGCCTCGACCTGCTGGGCTCCGGCGATCCTTCCGCCTCAGCCCTCTGAGTTGCTGGAACTACAGGCGCGCGCTACCACGCCCGGCTAATTTTTTTGATTTATTGTAGAGAGGAGGTCTCGCCTGCCCAGGCGGGTCTCGAACCCGTGGGCTCAGGCAATCCACTCACCTCAGCCTCCCAAAGGCGTGGGATTACAGCCACTGAGCCCGGCTGCAGCTGCCTTTATAATAGCAAAAAATAGAAACAACCCAGATGTCCTTCACTAGGTAAGTGGTAAATACACCGGGGTACATCCATACCATGGATCGCTACTGAGTGATAAAAAAGATAAACTACCGATATACACACCAACCTGAATGAGTCTTCAGAGAACTATGCTGAGTGAAAACCTCCACCCCGGAAGGTGACACATTGTATAATTCCAGCTAAAATATGCTCTTGAAATGACAAATGCACAGACATGGAGCACAAATCAGTGGTTTTGAGGAGCAGGGGGTGGATGAGAGGGCAGTAGGCGTGGCTATAAAGGCAGCATGAGCAATCCTTGTGCGGATAGGAATGTTCTGGCTGTGGACTGCATGATGTTAACATCCTGATATTGTGCGACGAGATGATGTCACCCATGGGGGAAAACTAAGCAAAGGATAACTGGGATCTCTCTGTATTATTTCTCAAAAGTGCAAGTGAATCTGCAATTGTGTTCAAAGTTTGATTTTTTGAAAAATAGGAATCAATTTTAACTTAAAAAAAAAAACAGGCCGGGCTCTGTGGCTCAGCCAGCCTCTCATCCCAGCACTTAGGGAGGCCGAGGCGAGAGGGTTGCCTGAGCCCGCAGGTTCGAGACCTGCCCAGGCAACTTGGCGAGATCTCGTCTCTACAATAAAGCAAAAAAATTAGCTGAGCGTGGTAGTGCACACCTCTAATTCCAGCTACTTGGGAGGCTGAGGCGGAAGGATCGCCGAAGCCCAGCAGGTCGAGGCTGTGGTGGCTGGGAGTGTGCCACTGCACTCCAATCTGGGCGACGGAGTGAGACTCCAACTCAAAAAACAAAACAAAACAAAACACAACACAACAACCTGAGGTGTTGGATTAATTCCTGCCTTAAGGAAACCTCTTGTTCTTTAAAAAAAATTTTTTTTAAATTTTAAAGATGTGGGGTATGATTCTGGGTTAGATAGGAAACTGATCTTTCAAATAGTAACAAAATATATGTGTATAGTAAAAAATCATTTCCTTAAGAAATACAATTATTCATAATGAGGCAGGGTAGTTAGTATAGGTTAGACAAAGATAGAAAAATTTCTTGTAGACAGTTTTTAATTTAGAAGAGAGAAGAATCCAGACATCTTTCTTGAAGGCTGGGCTGGGAAGTGGACCCACTAGTCCACCCTTCCCCCTCAGCTCATCCAAAGAAAACTCCATCAGATCTAAGAAGACAGCCTAACCTTTCAGCTCTTGGTTTAGTGTAATAATCACTAGGAAGCCTTCAGGCTCCCTGTTGAAAGTGGAAAGCTGAGCCTCACCCCTTTGTTTATCAAGGGTTTAGAAATGCTAACTAGACCACCTTTCAGCTCAGGAACTTGTATATTCACCAGTCCAGCAGGTCTCCTGTTAAAGGCAAAATGCGTGTTCTGGGGAAAACCCAAGCCCCTCGCCTATCAGAGGCGGGAAGATTATGAGGTGGAGAGATTGTAAGATCTCTCTGCAGATGATACCTGCACTCTACCCTCTTTAGCATGTCAATTATTGTAAAAATACATCAAGCTTTAGTCGAGCGAAAGCAGTTTTTCTTTTCAAGACATGCACCCATGCCAGCTCTCTTTGGCACGAGTCTCTCTTTCCCTTTCTTTCTCTCACTGGTAAACTCTGTTTCAAAAACCTTGCGGGCCACTCTGAAATTCCTGTCAGGAGTGAGTCAAGAGCCCAGAAGGTTTGTGCCACACCCCATCTCGCAACACGTGGCACCTCTAAATCGGTGAATGCCAGAATTTAGTTTTCAGATAACACAGCTTCCCTTCTGATGTGACAAGGGCTTACTAGTGGTCTCCTCATCATCACAGTAAGTGAGCAGTGACACACAAATGATGGGAGGAGAGGATGGATTGTGGAGAATTAGCGTTTGTTCCAATTCACCAGACTTCTCAGTTCCCAGGGCTTGTAGATGTGATGAGCCCCAGGTCTAGCCCAAACCCGTTAAAGTGTGAGACCTGACAGACTCGAATAGGAGCGAGCACTGTTCAGAGATGCTCTCCTCAAAACGGTGCATCTCAAACCAGCAACAGACTACAGATGCACAGGGTGAGCCTATAAACAGCACAGACTCTCTACACACATCCCCAGATACTGACTCTGTGGCTCTGGGAGGGGTCCACACATGTGTCTTCATCAAGCACCCTGGTGAAACCAGACTTTCAGACTCTTGGGAACACTGAGAGCTGGACTGGGTCTGGACTCCCCAAGAAGTGACCACAGTTCTTAGTCAAAATGATGGATGTCAGTCATCTTTCCTCAAAGAAGACTAAAAGGGATTCTTCCAGTCTGGGAGCTCATAAAGTGAATTTCAGGATTAATTTCAAATAGCTGGACTTACACCGAGGGCTAAAGAACTGAAGAGGAGAGAGGAAAAATGGTGGCCCCTCTGCGGCAGTGATGAGGCCATGGCCAGGTGGTCCCCAGGGCTGTGGAAAACTGCAGGGTGTTGGGAAGGGGGTGTCTGAAGGAAGCCGGTCCTCTCGGCACTGGTCAGGAGAGCACAAGAGGAACATACTGCGACCTCGCTTTGTGCCCTTATGAGGATGGGGTGAGCTCAGGAGACAGAAATTGTACCATGTAGGCAAAACCAACCACAAACAACAAACGTGGTCCAGTGCTAGGTGCTTTTTTTTTTTTTTTTTTTGAGCTGGAGTTTCACTCTGTCACCCAGAATGGAGTGCCCTGGCCGCTCCCGGCCACTGCAGCCTCGACCTGCTGGGCTCCGGCGATCCTTCTACCTCAGCCTTCCAAGGAGCCGGAACTACAGGTGTGCACTACCACACCTGGCTAATTTTTTGATTTATTGTAGAGATGAGGTCTTGCCAAGTTGCCCAGGTGGGTCACAAACCCGCGGGCTCAGGCAATCCACTCACCTCAGCCTCCCAAAGCGTTGAATTACAGGCTGAGCCACCGAGCCTGGCTGCTTCTTTCTTTAAGCAGCCATTTTTGCCACCACCCTGGGCAAGAGGCTCAATATAAAAGAGGAACTCGTGGGGGAAATGGGAGATGCTGGCTCAAGAATACAAACTTTCACTTACACGATGAGTGAGTTCTAGAGAGCTAAGGTACAGCATGGTGATGGCAGTTAATAACGATGTGAATGTGCTAAGAAAGTAGATCGTAAGTATTCTTGCCCCACACACAGAAAAAAGATACCTGTGACATAAGGGATGTTCTAATTAGCTTAACTGTGGTCATCATTTCACAGTGTGCACAAATTCCTGAGCATCACAGTGTTGTATGCATACATATATACTGCATATGGCACCACTTTTACGCGTCCATCACACCGCTATGAGACTGAGGGGGAAACAGAAACACCGAAACTTCATTCCCATCCCCTGCCTCAGACACTTTCTCAGCCTCTCCAGTCTTCCAGATCCGCTCTGCTCCTCCCAGTGGCCAACCAGCCCTGTCTGTGACCCTCTTTTCCACCCTCGCCCATCTTTCTCAGTCTGGCGCTTGGCTGTGACTTCAGCTGCTCTCAGTCCTTCTGATTATTCACTTCAGCTGCGTTGCCTCTGCTCATCTCGAGTGCACACTCTTTTCAGCGCGTTGTTACTCCAGGAGGCTCCAAGCTCAGTTTCCCCGGGCCGAAGATGCCGCGCCCCCGGGGGTGCCCACCAGCAGGCCACACCTGTGTGCCCATGACAGTCGCCGTAAAGCCACTGGCGAAGCACATGGCTGGAGGTGGCCAGATCAGTGTCTCCTTTCTTCTGCCGCTTCTTCGTGTGCCTGTCCTAGCTTGCCTTTTCTGCTTGGACAGTCCATACTTGGTCCCAGTCCCCACTGACCCTCACCTTGTTGGACTAGGCCATCGTGCCCACTGACCCCTAACTTTTCGGATTAGCGAAGGAATGGCAAGCGGTCTCTTCTCACACAGATTCTGCAGGACCGTCATTGGCTGCAGCCAGTGTGGTGTTGGGAGCAGTGTCTGGCTTCAATGTGCTAGGATCCCTTGGTCCCGGCAGCCTTGGGTGACGGTATGGGCCAGTCTTGCATTCTAAACGACTGCCATATTTGGACTGGATAGTTCCTTCTTTTCTTCAGGACTGACATTTTAACTGCAAATGTTTCACAGTCTCTCTTTGCATTCCTTTCCTCAAACTCCAATCTTTCTATTAAGTATTCTCAGCACACACACTCAGAAAAAAGATGACTGTGACATAATGGATAGGCTAATTAGCTTAATGGTGGTAATCATTTCACAATGTATACATATACCAAAACACAGTAACCTTGTATACCTTAAATACTTCATATAGTGCACGATTTCTAATGCATTAGCATTTTTCATTTATATTTGCTATAAAAATATCTGCAAAGCAGAAACTGCAGGGACCGAGAACATCATCTGCCAACGTCCTTGGCAGAATCCATTTTGTGGTTGTAGTTTGAGAACCGTACAAATCTCCCTAGGTTCAGGTGAGAAAAAGAGTAGCTTCTAGGCTGAGTGGTGTCAGAAAAACTGTCCCCCATGACCCAAAAGCCCTTTATTAAATGCCTGTTTCTTATCTGTTGTGTCCGCAGCCACTAGTCTCCTAGGACAAAATGTCTCTGCCTCACAGTTGAAATGCAAATACCCAGATCGCCGGTGCCAGCACACAGAGCGGCATTTCCACTCTCTACACCGAACCGGGGCATCCCACACCCAGGCGTTCCTGCCCCTGTGCCCTGTGTCCCACAGAGTGCCACCTCCACAGAGGAGCCCGGACTCAGCTTACCTTGTAGTGGAAGAGAAACAATCCGCAGAACAGGCTGTACAGATCGGCCGTGAGCAGAGAGAGGTTGACCGAAGTGGCGCTGGTCTTCTTTATGACGACGGGCATGAAGCTGTAGAGCCCGAACATGCAGGCACTGAAGCCGACATAGAGCAGTCCTGGGGGGAGAGCAGAGACAGGCAGTGTCAGGCCTCCCCTGGCACTCGTACCACAGAGGGTGCCAGGGGACAGTGCACGCCATCTCTCGCTCAGCAAAGGTCGTGCTGGCCCCACTCACTCTGTTCGTTACTGGGCGGCGACTGTAAAAGTAAAACGAGATGAAAAGGTAGTGTTTGCACGTGGCCAGTGACCGTTCTGCTTCTTACGACACCACGGGCACTTGGCTTCTTTTGGGAAGGAGGGCCTCGGTGGCTGTGGTTGGGGAGGAGGAGGTTTCTGAACTCTACTCCCAGCTGTGCTGTGACTAGCTCTGGCTATCCATGCATCTTACAACGCTTTTCCTTTCAGCTTCTTGTTTGCAAAACCAAGTGCTTGGTGCCACGTACTGCCCACAAGGAAGAATAACCAGGGTTCTTTTAATCGAGGGCTGGATGTGTCAAAGGAGCCTGGACTTAGAATACTGAACTGGAATCCTGACTGTGTGCCCTCGGGAAGATGAGTTCACTGCTCTGGGCGGGGGATGCTCTGTCCCTTTCTTCCCAATCCGTGAATGCTGTTCAGTCCGACTCACAACAGGCAGGGCCCGACCCTTCCGTCATCTTTCCCACCACCCTGTGAATGCTCACGTGCGCACTCTGGTGCCTTTACAATGCTCTATGGGCAGTCTCCAATCCTCAGACATTCTCTCTCTCGCTGTACAGTTATGCCCAGATATATCATGGTCAAAACGAACCCCCATGAGTGCTCACTCTGGTAAAGTTCCAAGTGGGAGTTTATAGCTAAATCTAGACCTTGGTTGTCTTTTCCCAGATGTTGACACAGTGCAAATGTAAAGAAATAATGCTCACTTCTCTACCTGGAAAGACCAAGGCACAGAATAAACAAAAGTGATACAATTCAGGAATCTTAGGGCATGGCAACAAAAAAACCATTTCAAAGGAATCCTTGATTAAATGTGCTTGGTGTGGGCTGTGGGCAAATTGCTTCCTCTAAATTCTGTGACTTTTGGAAGATTTGCTGGGTCCTGGGTCTCCAGCCCTTCGGACTACGGGGACCAGGGATTCCTCCAAAGAGAAACTGGGTTTGCCCTTATGAAAAGTGTTGAAGGGCACGGACCATCATTCCATAGGTTCCTGATCCTAACTCCAAGGAAGAACTGCCTTAGATCTAGATAAAAACTATTTTGAGCACAAAATAAGCAAACGTGGCACAACAGCCCCCTCTAGCGTGGTGGATGTGCCCTCAGGAAGGTGGAGCACACACTCTCCTGTTCCAGGAAGGGACAGTCCTGTATGCAGATTCTCTGACAATAATGTCAGAGGGCTTTTGAATCTCCATCAGAAGTTTTCATGATCTAAAAATGTTCCATTTCCCTATAACATGGGTGTCCTGGTTCATCTTCCTCTTCTCCAAGCCACTAAAAATGCAACACATACTCCATAATTTATGATTAATAAATGAAAAGACATCAAAATTAATTCGGTAGTCCTTAAAGAAATCTGTGCTAGCAGACTAAGGACAAGATCTATCCTTAAATTAGTCCACTAAAAATAATCACGCTTATCAACTTATCAGAACGCAGTCCAAGCACCACAGCCCCCGTTTCTGGGGGGAGGCATCATTGATTTAGAGGATACCACGACCAGGCTAGAAAATTCCAGGATCCTACCCTACCATCATCTTCCATTGACTCTGAGTTATAGGCTCTGATTTTTATATGTATTCATTTACCCAACCATTATTTACTGAGTACATACTATGCCCTAGGCATGCTGATATAGGCTAGGAATACAGTAAGAAACAGGATAGAAAAGACGCCTAGAATTACTGTTAGTGCTATATAGGAAGACAAGCGTTCCTTACAAGAATGACTGGGGACTGGGCAGGGTGGCTCATGCCTGTAATCCCAGCACCTTGGGAGGCAAAGGTGAGAGGACTGTTTGAGCCCACAGGTTTGAGACCAGCCCGGCCAACATGACGAGACCTCGTCCCTACAATAAATAAAAAAATTAGCCAGGCGTGGTGGCACACGCCTGTAGTTCCAGCTGCTTAGAAGGCTGAGGTGGAAGGATCACCAGAGCCCAGCAGGTTGAGGCTGCGGTGGCCATGAGTGTACCACTGCATGCCATCCTGGGCGACAGAGTAAGACTCTGACTCAAAAATAAAGATGGCTGGGGCTTGCTTTAGGCAGGGAGTTGGGTAGGGCTGCTTTGTGGAGGTGGCATTTACCCTGAATGCTGAAGGGCCCCAAGGAGAGTGTCATGGGAGGGATTGGGGAAGAATATTTTAGGCAGGGAAGCCTGCACGTGAAAAACGCTCTGAGAGAGGCAGGGCCGCGAGTGTTCCCGGAGCTGGCAGAGGTCAGAGTGGCTGAGCAGAGTGCCCAGGATGGGCAGTGGCGGTGATGAAGTGGGAGAGCCGGGAAGGGCATGGACCGCGCGGGGCCTTGCGGGTTTTGGAAAGAAATCTGTATCTTGCTCTAGATGTAATGAGAAGCCATAGAGGAGCTTGCAGCAGGTGACCTAGATAATCAATCCATCTACATTTTCAAAAGGTAATTCTGGCAACTTTGTGGAGAAGCCAGTGCAAGGAAGACAGGGGTGGGGGCTGTCAGAAGCGCAGCAGCCCAGTCCCAGCATGAGGGGCTGGGGGCTTACTCAACTTTGCTGGGAATGGCACGGAGAAGGGAAGTGCCCGGGTGTGCAAAGACTCAGCAAGCCCTGGTGACGGACGGACGCAGGTGGCGAGGGAAAGGGGGGCTCTGAGCACGCCCGTGGGTCTGGCCAATTCAGAAACGGGCCAATGATGCCGCTGCACACTGAGGTAGACAGAACGAGGGCTTTCGGGGGAAACACAGTGCTCTGTTTTGAGTGTGTTAAGTTTTAGAAGCTTGTGCATTATTGCCCAGGAAGATCTGTCCAGTAGGGTGCTGGGTATATAACTGGAGGATTCAGAGAAGAGGTGTGACTTTACAAGCCCAAGTGGTGAGTCAAGGAGAACAGACACACGGCAGATTTTCACTCTGCTAGTCAGGCTACCCCAGGATGTGCTCAGCTTACACATCCTCACCACTAATAAATGCTACAGAAATCAGATGTACAGGGATGGGAGTGAAATATATGTACCATCACAGTGGGTCAACCATGTTTTTATATGAGAAATCGTGTTTTGTCCACCAAGCACAGTCAGCCAAGTAAACACACGATTACATAGAGACTACATGCTTTTGCACTTTGCTGACTTGCTATTCCTAGGTGTACACTAGCTAGTTAATGGATGCTAGGAATTCACCTAAGGCCCAACTTGCTGCCCATGGAGGGTTTTCAGTGGGTCAACATGTCAAACAATTGATCCGAACTGCATTTTGACTGACAACTACATAACGGCTACACTATTTATAGATCCAGTATGTGTATAATCATTTCTTATTTGAAATGTTTTCTCTCTCACTAAGGATAGAATTGGTTGCCCTTGTCCTCATGCACTAAAGAGATTTAAACTACAGAGATTGGAAATAATAGAACAAATCCTTACCAAAATGAGTTTTAAAATTCCAGACATAGAATTCAAAAGGTTTATTATAAAATCAGTCAATTAACTTCAGGAGAGAGTGGAAAACTAACATAAATAAATTTTTAAAAATATTCAGGACATGAATGAAAAAAATTCTCCAAAGATATAGACACCATTAAAAAAAAAACCAAGCTGAAATTCTGGAAGTGAAAGAATCATTTAGGGAAGTACAGAAGTACAGTGGAAAATTTTAACAGCAGACTAGAACAAGCAGAAGAAAGAACCTCAGAACTTGAAGACAAGCCTTTTGAGTTAACCAAATCAGACAACAATAAAGGAAAAAAAGAATCAAGAGAACATAACATAGTTTCCAAGAAATGTGGGATCATGTAAATCATCCCAACCTAAAATGTAAATAATCCCAACCTGGTGTTCTTGAGAAAGAAGAGAAAGCAGCAGGTTGGAAAACTTATTTGAGGGAATAATGAAGGAAAACTTCCCTGAGCATGCCAGAGATCCAAATATCAAGATCAAGAAGTCCTGGCTCAGCCCGTCATCCCAGCACTTTGGGAGGCTGAGGCAAGTGGATTGGCTGAGCCTGAGGGTTTGAGAGCAGCCCGGGCAACTTGGCGAGACCTCGTCTCTACAACAAATAGAAAATTAGCCAGGCGTGGTAGTGTGTGCCTGTAGTTCCCAGCTGCTTGGAAGGCTGAGGCAGAAAGATCACAGGAGCCCAGCAGGTCGATGCTGGGGTGGCTGTGAGTGTGTTACTGCACTCCAGCCTGGGCGACAGAGTGAGATTCAAACTAAACAAACAAAAAAAGGATCAAGAAGTCCAAAGAACCTCCAGAAGATTCATTGCAAAAGGTCAGTCCCAAGGCGCACAGTCATCAGGCAACACAAAGTTAAGGTGAAGAAAATGATTTTAAGAGAAGTGAGACAAAAGCATGAAATAACTTACGAAGGCAGACCTATCAGACTAATGCAGACTTCTTAGAAGAAAGCCTACCCTATGAACCAGAAGGGAACAAGGTCCCATCTTCAACCTCCTGAAACAGAGTAACAGCCAGCCAAGGATTTTGCATCCTTAAAAACTAAGCTTCATATATGAAGGGAAAATGAAGTCCTTTGCAGACAAGCAAACATTGAGGGAATCTGTACCAAGAGACTGGTTCTACAATAAATATTCAAGGGAGTCCTAAATACTGAAACAAAAGGTCAAAATGCACCAGTAGAAAAATGCTGGAGATCATAACATTCACAGGCTTTATGGAACACCAACACAACAGAAAAAAATCAACAAAGCAACCAGATAACAATCAGTATGATGAATAGAATAATACCTTACATATCATTATTAACTTTGAATGCAAATGGTATCAATGCCCCACTAAAAAGATATATACTGGAAGAATGGATAAAAAAAAAACATAGCCCAAATATCTGCTACCTTTAAGAGACCCACTTAGCTCACAAAGATTCCTAT